TGTTGTTTGAGTGAGTGAGTGAGTTGGGTTTAACGCAGCTTTTAACAGTATTCCAGTTATATCACGGCGTGTCAGCTTAATGTAGGAGGAAAGCCTGAAGTGATGCAGGTCTCCGACGTTTACCACTTCGGTGAAACCAATGGGTATGGTGCTGACAAACCTAGAAACATAATCGTGGCGAACCAGGATTCGAACCCACAATCATAGGTTTGTGGCGTGCCAAAGGGATGCAACGCTTAGACCACTGGGCCACCAGTGCCCCCTTGTTGTTTGAGTGAGTGAGTATGGTTTTACACCGCTTTTAGCAATATTCAAGCAATATTACGGCAGGGGACACCATAAATGGGCTTCACACATTGTACCCAGGTCTTTGGCAAGACAAGTAAATGCTTTAACCACTGGGTCACCCACCTTTGTTGTTTGAGGCTGCACACTGTAATATTCCACTACAGCAGCATGTATACTCAAAGACAAAAGTTAATGCAACATGCAGTACACAAAGAGGATCGGTCAAACAAATGTACTGCTTTGTATGGAACTATACAACAGACAGTTCAATGTCTAAGGCGATGGTAACGAAACAACAGTCCACATACGGAGCGCTTGTACCATAAACCAAATGAGTCATGTCGGAGGGTTCAGAGGCTAGTTCATATAAAAATCCACGTCACAATAACTTTAGCCTTTGAGTATAAATAATGAAATAGGACCAGACAAACCAGTGATCGATAGCATGAACAACACTATGTTGTCGGGGTATGCTGAGATACAATCAACCAAGCCTGCCCGCCCCGATCAAGTTTCCTTGTGGGGTAAGTATAGGTTGCTGGACACTAAGTGTGACCTGTATTTCCAAGATATGGTCTAATCTTTTTCGGTTTCTGGATTGGATACAGGTTGGGTAAACAAATTAAGCAACAAAAATATTTATTGATCACTTCAAGCTATTTGGGAAATGACATTTCTTTTGTATGCTCAAAATGAGAGGATAGAAGAAGTGATGCAATAATATAAATCACATGAGAGAGAGAGAGAGAGAGAGAGAGGGGGGGGGGGGGCAGGGAGAGAGAGAGCGGGGGCAGGGAGAGAGAGAGAGGGTCAAGAGAGAGAGAGAGGGTCAAGAGAGAGAGGGAGGGAGGGAGGGAGAGAGAGAGGGTCAAGAGAGAGAGGGAGGGAGGGAGAGAGAGAGGGAGGGAGGGAGAGAGAGAGAGAGGGTCAAGAGAGAGAGGGAGGGAGGGTGAGAGAGAGGAGGGGGAAGAGAGAGAGAGGGAGGGAGGATGCTGCGAAGAATGATCTTCACACTGTGTTCTCTTACCAGGGACTAAATGCATGGCAATCAATCCCTTTGCCCTTTTCTGAGGTTGTAAACAAAACTCTCAGAGTGTTCATTGAAACTTGTCAAGAGTGAGTATTACACGATAGGTCACGTTGGTATCATATTGTATTCTATGCAGGAAGTTACAATCCTAAATGAAAAATGTATAAAGGAACCTAAGGATTGAAACAGTATTCATGATAAGGGCAGCTATAGCCAGCATAGTGTCCCCGAATAGGTATTCTTAAATCATTATATAAAATGAGGCAACTACAATACATGAAGTGCCAAGTCCATAGATATAAATATTGAAGAAAGTAAAGCATGGGTTCACTGCTAAAATTCTGAATATCCATGCTGAGGTAACTACAGCCAGCATAGTGTCCCTGAATAGGTATTCTTAAGCATTATTCAAAATGAGGCAACCACATAGTACAATACATTGAGTAAGTCCAGAGTCATAAGTACTGAAGAAATTAAGGCATGGATTCAATTACAATATTCTAAAAATATCCATGATGAGGGCAACTACAGCCAGCATAGTGTCCCTGAACAGGTATTCTAAAATACCTAAAATGTCGGCACTACAGGCTCTGACCTGCCCCCAGAAGAAAGCATGAAAATGGAAAACATTCTTCACAAATCTCAATACCAAGTACAGAATTAAGGCACAAAATAAGCAAGGCTGGTGGTCTACTGGCAATGTACCAACAAAATACAACCAACCATTGCTTCCGTAAACAAACGTAGTTAGGAGTGAGAGTGGCCCCATCTGTCAACTTCACCGAAGGGAGCTTGGTTTTGTTCTGTCTTGAAATTTTAGAACATCTCGCCATGGCGAGACCAACAATAGGCTTTACACACTGTTACCATTTGGGAATCAAACCCCAGTCATGATAGGCTAATGCATTAACCACTAGGCCACCAACATTGGAATCAACAATCATGACATAATTCAACTAGACACGTATACACATTGAAAAGTGAACAAGATCTCTAAAAACATTAATACTGTACATCAAGGCAACTATGTTTCTCGTAAGACGCGACTAACAGGATCAGGTGGTCTGGCTGACTTAGTTGATCCCAATTGCATGGATTGATGCTCATGATGTCAATCACTGGATTGTCTGATCCAGACTCGATAATTTACAGCCCGCCATCATATAGCTGGAATATTGCTGAGTGCGGCGTTAAAGAACAAATAAACAAACAATATTTCTGTGGATTGGTGCAGCCCTATTCTCAAGAAGAATGTCAGTTATTTCAATAACTCACAAATACTGATAGAAATACAAGATCAGTGAATATTGGGTAAAGCCAATACTTAAAGCAACATAAATATTTAAAGAGAAAATGGAATTCACTGGAAATGACACTCAGATGGATGAGCCAAACAAATATATGGAGCTGTAGTTTGACAGGTGTCATTGCATCCTGACACAAGCTTATTCCACCGTGTACACACAAAACATAACAGTAAAGTTTAATACATACCGTATTCGACGTAATAAGCGCCCACGGCAACATTTGCTAATATATTGGCTAGTGAACAATCCAAATTAGCACCCTTCCAATTGATCAATGTACGCAAGACTTATTTATTTGCGTATAATACGCACTCATGTGTTATATGCACCCTTAATAATGGGCAATTAAATTCTGGAAAAATATATCTGTCGTATATAAACATTTCAGGCTGTCAGCATAAACCACAAAATTTATCTTTTAACTCTTTTTTTCTCACCAAAATAATATTCTAATAAGAGCCCCCTATTTCTACTTTTGAGAGCTCCCTGGGCACTTATTACGTCGAACACGGTACCAGTAAATATAAATGGTGCAACTTAACACTTAAGTACAGGTCTCCAAGACAAACAAAATTTATAAAATGGTATAAAAATAGATTTCTGACTATCAAAGGAGCCATGTCAAAAGATCATTTCAGAAAATATACCAGAGTACAATTGTATTACATACTGAACTAAAAATAAGTTAGGCATCATGATTATTTTGGGATATTTTTTGTAGTGAAGACTGAGTTTCTCAAAATGTGTATGGCATATTTGAACTTTTTTGTTCAGAATATTTTGTACCTGAAGAAAAAAAAGAAAGACAGATAAAATGGCTACAAGACTTTGCTTTTTCAACACAGGAGGAATTTGTTTCGACATGGTCCAGTGTTACTGGTAGGATAGCTACATTGTTGTGACCTTTAGCAGTAAAATTAGAAAACAGGTTTCATACATCGAGACATCGGTAGTTAATCGGTAGTAAATACTGTGTATTTGGGAAAAAACTGACACACAAACAGTTAACAATGAATTGAGGTGGGCGTGTCCAGTACATACACAGGTCCCTGGGGTACCGAGGTGGGCATGGCAAGTACATACACTGGTCCCTGGGGTACCGAGGTGGGCGTGTCCAGTACATACATGGGTCGCTGGGGTACCGAGGTGGGAGTGTCGGGTACATACACAGGTCCCTGGGGTACCGAGGTGGGAGTGTCGGGTACATACACTGGTCCCTGGGGTACCGAGGTGGGCGTGTCCAGTACATACATGGGTCGCTGGGGTACCGAGGTGGGAGTGTCGGGTACATACACTGGTCTCTGGGGTACCGAGGTGGGAGTGTCGGGTACATACACTGGTCCCTGGGGTACCGAGGTGGGAGTGTCGGGTACATACATTGGTCCCTGGGGTACCGAGGTGGGAGTGTCGGGTACATACATTGGTCCCTGGGGTACCGAGGTGGGAGTGTCGGGTACATACACTGGTCCCTGGGGTACCGAGGTGGGAGTGTCGGGTACATACATTGGTCCCTGGGGTACCGAGGTGGGAGCGTTGGGTACATACACTGGTCCCTGGGGTACCGAGGTGGGAGTGTCGGGTACATACACTGGTCCCTGGGGTACCGAGGTGGGAGTGTCGGGTACATACACTAGTCTCTGGGGTACCGAGGTGGGTGTGTCCAGTACATACACAGGTCCCTGGGGTACCGAGGTGGGCGTGTCCAGTACATACACTGGTCCCTGGGGTACCGAGGTGGGCGTGTCGGGTACATACATGGGTCCCTGGGGTACCGAGGTGGGAGTGTCCAGTACATACACTAGTCTCTGGGGTACCGAGGTGGGCGTGTCCAGTACATACACAGGTCACTGGGGTACCGAGGTGGGCGTGTCCAGTACATACACTGGTCCCTGGGGTACCGAGGTGGGCGTGTCGGGTACATACATGGGTCCCTGGGGTACCGAGGTGGGAGTGTCGGGTACATACACTAGTCCCTGGGGTACCGAGGTGGGCGTGTCGGGTACATACATGGGTCCCTGGGGTACCGAGGTGGGAGTGTCGGGTACATACATGGGTCCCTGGGGTACGGAGGTGGGCATGTCCAGTTCATACACTGTATCCCTGGGGTACCGAGGTGGGAGTGTCGGGTACATACATGGGTCCCTGGGGTACCGAGGTGGGCATGTCCAGTACATACATGGGTCCCTGGGGTACTGAGGTGGGAGCGTCGGGTACATACATGGGTCTCTGGGGTAACGAGGTGGGAGTGTCGGGTACATACACTGTATCCCTGGGGTCAATGGTGGGAGTGTCGGGTACATACATGGGTCCCTGGGGTCAATGGTGGGAGTGTCGGGTACATACATGGGTCCCTGGGGTACGGAGGTGGGAGCGTCGGGTACATACATGGGTCCCTGGGGTACGGAGGTCACTGGTGGGAGTGTCGGGTACATACATGGGTCCCTGGGGTACAGAGGTGGGCGTGTCGGGTACATACATGGGTCCCTGGGGTACGGAGGTGGGAGTGTGGGGTACATACATGGGTCCCTGGGGTACGGAGGTCACTGGTGGGAGTGTCGGGTACATACATGGGTCCCTGGGGTACAGAGGTGGGCGTGTCCAGTACATACACTGGTCCCTGGGGTACCGAGGTGGGCATGTCCAGTACATACACTGTATCCATGGGGTACCGAGGTGGGAGTGTCGGGTACATACATGGGTCCCTGGGGTACCGAGGTGGGAGTGTCAGGTACATACATGGGTCCCTGGGGTACGGAGGTCACTGGTGGGAGTGTCGGGTACATACATGGGTCCCTGGGGTACAGAGGTTGGCGTGTCGGGTACATACATGGGTCCCTGGGGTACAGAGATGGGCGTGTATGTACTGGACACACCCACCTCGGTACCCTGTGGGTGTGTGAGGTACATACACTGGTGGGTTCAATCTGATACCATACTGTCTCAGTTCTACATATTATGTCCCCGGGGGGTACCGAGGTCGGTGTGTCCAACAAATGGTCAAATCTTTACAGACAGGCCTATTTCGCACCATCAGCAGTTCAAAGTCAAATAATTGAAGCAATACAAGTCAATACTGAAGTGGAGGTAAAGTAAAATACCAAAATAAAATCTATCGAAAAAAACATCAAAATCGGGGCACATCTTTGGTGAGCAGCAGCATGACCCCATGATGAACACTTCAAAAAGTAAGGCCTCGTATTATGGAAGGGTGATAAGACCGTGAAAGGCTAAACATCATTATCTGAATGGGATTAATATACAGTAAACTATGTTCAAAACGAACACGCTTATAACAAACTTATTCTTAAGTCCCCGCCATTTGTTGTACATATGCTGTATATATGCTCATAACGTTATCATGAACTAAAATTAGTGGTCCATTTGAGTTTGTTATAACCATAGTTTACTGTACTACTCAAAAGAAGTTAAAGGACACCCGATTTTTTCCACGACAGATAAACTTTCCCTTTACAATCCAAACAGAGAGCCATGGGGTGTAGGGGGCACTTGCTGGAGCAGAGTGAGGGAGTGAGTATAGTTTAACGCCACTTTTAGCAATATTCTAGCAATATCACGGCAGGGGACACCAGAAATGGGCTTCACACATTGTACCCATGTCGGGAATCGAACCCGGGTCTTCGGCGTGACGAGCGAACGCTTTAACCACCCAACCGCCCCTGCTGGAACAGAGAGCTTATTACCGTACAGTACATTAAATATGGCACTTAACCATTAATAACCATTGTTCAGAATCCATTCAAGATAAGAATACTTCGATACACACGTGCAATGATTTGTCATGGAAAATGTTGCCCTTTGAAATGAAAATGAATTTTTGAATGAAATTTTCAAATATTGCAAATGATGAAATTCTGGGTTATAATTGTGATGTGTGAAAAAAACAAAACAGAAATATATCCACAAATAAATGTTCAGAATGAAGCTAGACACACTCTGCATGAGCAGGCGACTTTTCAACAATACACTTACAATATTCGACGTAATAAGCGCCCCGCTCTAATAAGCGCCCACGGCGACATTAGCTAATATATTGGCCGGTGAACAATCCCTATTAGCACCCCTTCCGATTGATCAATGTACACAAGACTTATTTATTCGCGTATAATACGCACTCGTGTGATTATATGCACCCTTAATTATGGGCAATTAAATTCTGGAAAAATATATCTGTCGTACATAAACACTTCAGACTGTCGGCATAAACCACGAAATTTATCTTTCAACTGTTTTTTTCCACCAAAATAATATTCTACTAAGAGCCCCCTCTAATTTTAAGAGCGCCCTGGGCGCTTATTACGTCGAATACAGTAGTCCACTTTCAGATGCAAATGACATTCTGGGTGACTCTTTGAAGAAAAATACTAAAAGTTAGCTGACTGTAAAGGTCGCCTTTTACGGGAAGCATGGGTTGCTGAAGACCTATTCTACCCGGGATCTTCACGGGTCTCATATGTATTCACAGGTGATGGAGGAACATAGTGTACATGTGACTTCTTGACGATGATGGAAATGTCAGTATCATATACACCACACTACCAGGAGTGCTTAATTTCACAAAGGATCACTGCATCATGAAAGCATCCGTATCTACAGTAGGTTTACAAATTCGTCACTTAAAACACTGTATCAAGGGAAGTCTATTTTTAAAAACAATCACCTATCCTGGTGTTCTAAAATAAAATAAATATTTGACATTAAAGGTTTGGGTATTTTTTAGAAAAAAATGTTTTGGTTTTCCTTTATTTATTGAAATTAGAATGCCTTACAGTTGCATTTATCCAGGGAATTATATTTGGGCTGGGACAGGTATCTCAGATACTCGGGTAGGGTGGGTACGGAGAAGGACCTAGAAACCATGGTTAGTCACGTGATATATTATTTAATGACAAAAATTCCCTTATTTCAGGGTTACACAACAAATCACAAATATTTGCGTTTCTTTCTGACTATGCACATATTCCTTGCACATGTTTGAATAAAGATACAACTTCCATCACCTTCAGTCAGTTACTTGACTCTTCTTTCAATTATGATGATGCGGGCGGTGCTTAAGAACCAAGACCATTTTCTTTAGCCTTACAGATCAAAATAACCTCTGTACTTTGAGGGCTCAGACCGGTACACGAGATCTCGACCATGGGGCAGGTGTCAATGGACTCAAGCCCTACATCATGGACTGCACAAGGGAGATAACTCACATCTTCACTTCTCCACATCATGTGCAGTCATGGAAAAGAATTGGAAAATCATTTCAACAGAGATGATGCTTATGAAACAGAAAAAATGTTGACTGTGTGCGTTATTCTTTTGAAATCGGGAACTCCAGTCAGGGTTGAGTTTTGAGATGCAGCTACCCGGTACCCGTCACACCACAATTACTTCATGCAACTGGATCTGTCCGGTACAACACTGACACTGCAAATATTGACTGACCAACACAAACATATCAAGGCAGTCAGTATAAACCACATAAATGACAATGAAATTATGACAAAATATGAAAACAATATGCTTCAACTATGATAACAATAAATCAATGACACGTCAATCTGAGACTTACCGATGTCAAGCTAAGACACGATGGCATCAATCTCAGACACAATGATATCAATCAAAGACACAATGATATCAATCAAAGACACAATGATATCAATCTCAGACACAATGATATCAATCAAAGACACAATGATATCAATCAAAAACACAATGATATCAAATTAAGACACAATGAAATCGATCTAAGACACAATGAAATCGATCTAAGACAATGATATCGATCAAAGACACAATGATATCAAATTAAGACACAATGAAATCGATCTAAGACACAATGATATCCTTCTAAGACACAATGAAGTTGATCTAAGACACAATGAAATTGATCTAAGACACAACGATATCCATCTAAGACACAATGGTATTCAGTCTGAATGATGTAGCAGTATTATGCGACAAATAAGCACCTTTACGCACACATTAATCATTTCTTCACAGTGAAACTTCTAACCAACATTTTTCAAGTAGGTTAACAAAATATTTGGATTTCACAAAACAAGACATCTACTAAAATATTTACCAAATAACTAACAATAAAAAGACTTTCATTCTAATTAATGCTGTTATTCCTCTATTCCTTAGTTCAATAACATTCAGTAGTATCTTCCACAGAACTGGTTTGGAAATGTATCCTCTAATGACAGCTTTCCTGTAACCATTGTAACGCACGGGCAAATATACACACATCTAAATAATAAAAAAAAGTTGGAAAATTCACATCATCACATTCAACAATAGACCTCCACAAAAAATATCTCTCAGTTACCTCCCCTTTAGCTCTGGAGGTTCTACTCTGAGCATATTTGACTGTGGTTGTGCAGAAAACAGTCTCAGTAGCAGGTATCTAAGAGAAGATAACTCCAGTCTCCTCTTCTCACTGGCCAATAGAGTACTGTTATCATAACTCAGGCATTCTGCCCAAAGTTCCAAAGGGGAGTCACTCAAGAAATACAACAGCACACCAAATCAAATCGTTGGGAACACTTCACCTGAATCAAATTATCACAATCTAAGCACAATGAATTTTAATGATATATAACAAACAATGCACTTGAGTACATCATGTGCACATTAGATCACCCTCAAACTTAGGTCATCAAACTTTTGATACTCAATATCAATGTGATTACAGTGTTCGAAATCAAGTCCAGGGAGCCTTGTCATACAAAACACTAACATTCAAACGTAAAAGATTTTGGGGGTGCCCTGCATTCAAATAAATCAGGGATGGAAATTAACAAAGAACATCTCCTATCCCGAAGTGATCACATTCAGCAATTGCCCCCAAAATGTCTGAAATTCTTAGGATTCGTAGTCCTGATAATGGCTTCGACATTTACCATGCCTCCAACACGGGTACCGCTAACTTCCATCTCCGCAACACACATGTACCAAGGAAGAAGAGCTCCAACACGGGTACCGCTAACTTCCATCTCCGCAACACACATGTACCAAGGAAGAAGACCTCCAACACGGGTACCGCTAACTTCCATCTCCGCAAGACACATGTACCAAGGAAGAAGAGCTCCAACACGGGTACCGCTAACTTCCATCTCCACAACACACATGTACCAAGGAAGAAGACCTCCAACACGGGTACCGCTAACTTCCATCTCCGCAACACACATGTACCAAGGAAGAAGACCTCAAGGGCCGACGGTTCCCTTAATTCCCAACACTGAATAATGATGTGAGTTGTATCTACCTTAAGACCAATGATTGCTATACCTTGAAAGTCTATTGCACGATTAAGTACATGTAAAAACAGTACAAATAAAGCACTTTCTGTTACCACTGGTTACCACATTCTATTGTGACTCATACATGACAATAAAGAGTAAAGTGTTCCAGTGTATCCAAGCACCATTGACCATTTCTCGGGCTACATCTCGTTAAAAGTCACAGATTTTCAACACGCTGGAGTATTGGAGTATTTAGCATCAACTGGTCCAGTTCGTCTGAATGTACGCTCATATGACAATAGTCATGAGACATTCCTGTGACGTCTGGTATTATGTGATCAGCCACTGAGAAATAGACTCCAGAGTAGTGCACTAGGCATCATATCCAAACTAAGGCATCACAGTTAAAGAACGGATACAGATGCTTAAAGAGCATCTTGTGCAGACCCAGTAAGTTGGACTAAGTCTTTAAGGCCATGTGTAAGTCTAAACTGCTGGGTAAAAGAAAGTACCAGTATACAGCCATGTTTGATAGTGGCTAAATATGAGTGAGCGAGTGAGTGAGTGAGTGAGAAAGTGAGTGAGTGAGTGAGTGAGTGAGTGAGTGAGTGAGTGAGTGAGTTGGGTTTAACGCCGCTTTTAACAGTATTCCAGTTATATCATGACGTGTCAGCTTAATGTGGGAGGAAAGCCCAAAGTGATGCAGGTCTCAGACGTTTACCACTTCAGTGAAACCCACGAGCACGGGTATGGTCCTGACAAACCTAGACACATAATCAGGGCGAACCGGGATTCGAACCCACAATCATAGGTTTCTGGCGTGCCCACGGAACACAGTTCTGCACAGCGAATCGCGGCGCCTTAGACGACTGGGCCCCCCTGCTAAATATGAAACAAACAAGATGGTTATTCGATGATGATGCATTTGATGCAGATATCATAGTTGTGTCCTGGACCTCAGTTTGCAGTGTTTCGGTGACTGTTTCAGCCTAGTGAGGTTTTGATGTCTCTAAATTGTAGGTCAAATCCCATTTTCATGTGTACACTTTCTTTTGCCCAGCAGTTTATTAACTCAAACTTTATAATGAAGATGAATCTGGCAGTTTAGGATGACTGAGTTACAAAGAAATACTGTTTCAAAACTGACACTGACTACATCCAGACTGGAAATGTTTATAAGACCACGATGGAAACTCCCCTTTAAGTAACAGACACTTAAGGAATAACTAGCTATCAGAGGTACGAAGTACTTTCAGAATTAGTTATGGAATGACAGGTAACCAGACATTCTGGAGGAACTACCTTGAGGCTTCAGTCAACATCACAATAATGATGGCAGTGTTCAAAATTAAGAATGAAAGTCAAAAGGTCCTCGTCATAACCCTAATGTTAACAGTTAGATATCTAGGGGTAGGAGTGGAACGATATATCAAACTATCGATATATAGCAATACAATCACAAGATTGAAACATAATCAGGGCTAAACGGGATTCAAACCCACAATCATAGGTTTCCGGCGTGCCCAAGGGACGCAACTCTGCACAGCGAATCGCGGCGCCTTAGACGACTGGGCCACCCGTGCCCCCGTATTGTAATGAAGGCCTGAGAGAAGTGATCTGTCAAAACTTACAGCTGTTGCCAATTGTTTCTCTGATGTTCACACAAGCGGGGTAAAGGGATTGTATATATTCTTTTAGAAGTGATTTTCTGACACATTGCTCAAACATCCTAAGATTTTTTTTTAACTTTACTGGTGTTAAACTAAGAGTGTTTATAAGATTTCTATTTTTTCAAATACAAAGTTATCAAAAACTAAACTATTTTTTCAATTCAAACATATCAATATTGCCAACTTTAAATTCATGTGCAGCCACTTTTTTTCATGTTCCCGTGATTTAGCTCGAAACAAAAACCTTTGAGAGAACAATTCTATATCATTATCAAATTTAAAAAAAAGTTCTTTAGAACATTTTGGATGACAATCAGTCAATGTTCTGTAAAATAAACCAATCTTATAAACTCTATTCAAAACAACAGTAAAATTTCCAGACAGCCGGCATTGCCAACGGACACCATCTTGAGAGGGCAGAATGCCTATTACGTACAACCTAGGTCTGTCTTAAAGCTCCTTGTTGAGAACCCAGTTGGCAAAACAGCAATCTTTAAAACCAAATAAGTTACATTTGTCTTCTAGCAAGGGTGCGGTATTATCGGTAAATTGAGGTTTATTCTTTCCACGATACGTATCACAATATCATTTTATTATGTTTGATATATAGGGTGTTTGTCATGTATTTTTTACTAAATACCTTCGCTGTCCTGCAGCATGCATCAGGTGCCCCAAGATGTCTGTGTATTTATTGACTGAGTAAACATCATGTTGTACCAGCACCTGTTCCATTTATGAACTTTAATTTACACCTTAATGTATTAGAATGCTTCTGAATTCAAAATTTAGAGTTAAACAATATATTGTGAAACGTATCGCAATACGGCCTTGTGCATAGGAAAATATTGTGATACACTTTTAAACTTCCCATCCCTATCCTATCCCATCCCATCCCATCCCTATCTTCCAGCATATTTCAAAACTGAACCGCTGAGATCTCCTGATGCACCAGCTATCAGGATGTTACCCTAGATCCCGGTTGCCACTTTCCCTGGAAAAATTACAACACACAAATCTCTGTTAAAAAATTCGACCCTTACTATCCAATGACATTATAAGGCAGTGCTTTCAATGCAGAACGGTAAAGGGAAAAGAGGGTATTCCTCATCTTCGAAGCGCAATCATAAGAAACTTAGAGTCCAGTCAATTTCTGTTTTCAAATGGTTGCTGATGTGTTATATGGACAGTGGCCCGCCCATCTAACCTATCAAAGGCCAGATCTAGAATCATCCCTGCCCTTGCAATATTAAAATCAGATATTGAAAAAAAAAAGCCACACCACAATTCGTATCTACGGTGAAAATACAAATTCAGCAACATTCATAATTAGCCTATTGTGACAGTAACCATGGTAACAAGCAGCAAAACAATTTCAATAATCGATGAGTATTTATCGAGCCTGCTTTCTGCATTAGCAAGAAGCATCAATGACTGAGCTTTGATTGAAGATTATCTGTGATGTATTTTTGTATCTGTGACCTTTTGCTCTCTGACCCCTGTGACCTTTTGCTCTCTGACCCCTGTGACCTTTGGTCTCCTGACCTCTGCGACCTAACCACAACCACAGTGAAACTGCTTTGTTGAGTCTTTGACGTCGTCATAGCGACAACCAGCACACACAGTATGGAACCATTTGTCACAGTCATCACACTGGACCTGAAATGTAAAACATGAACAATAAAAACAGTGAGCTGAAATAATGATATTTTATGCTACTTCAAACAGTATTGAAATTATGTCACAGTGAGTCAGCTTCGTGCAGGAGGAAAGCCTTCAAAGTGTTGTTTGTTTGTTGATTAACGCTTGATTCAGCAATATTCCAGCTAGATGGCGTCAGTCCGTAAATAATCGAGTCAGGAACAGACAATCTAGTGATTGACATCATGAGCATCGATCCACTCAATTGGGACACAATGACATGTATCAACCAAGTCAGCATGCCTGATCACCTGATCCCGTTAGTCGCCTCTTACGAGAAGCATTGTCGCCTTTAATGGCAAGCATGGGTTGCTGAAGACCTTCCCTACCCCGGATCTTCGCGGGCAGCAAAAGTTTAGCAACTCATAGGTGTTTGCTTGAGGTCACGAGTGAGTGAGTGAGTGAGTGAGTGAGTGAGTGAGTGAGTGAGTGAGTGAGAGTGAATATGGTTTTACGCCGCTTTAAAGGGCAAGTTCACACGGAAATGAACCTATTTTTCTTGTACTTTTTCCACATTCAAAGTGTTAACATAGAAGTGTCATAGACAAAAATATAAAAATATCACAATTAATTAACATATTTTTCGCATTAAAACGATTTATATTTTTCACATTTACCAAGTGTTCTATTTCCACAACAAAAACACCATGGCTTATGCCCCTTGCAATATGACGTCATTGGTGCCAATTGATAAACATTATGACATCATCATGCTTTGTTAGAGCCGCTTCACGTGGTGTAGGTCCAGGTGTGTGATTCTAGCGTCTCAGTTGCCAGCCAGCATAGTGTTATGCTGAGTCACCACTGCGCCGGAGTGTGTCGTAGGCCATGTTGTTTTACCGCAAACTGGTACCGTATATCGCTGTGTATAAGGCGAGTTTTTCGTACCTAAAATGAGGGGGCTAAGAAGGGGGGTCGTCTTATACACGGGGTCGAAGATCTCACATTTTTTTCCACTGGCGATGTCAACCGGCGTCCGATAGCCAGCCCAGCATTTGACAATAAAACTTCGCAATCGCATTTCGTCCTAAATAACTGTTCCAATAACTATTTCCATACATAAACATGATTTGTATCTCTTTTCCTTGCATAAAGTTTAATAATTTCTGCAAATAAAGTTGAAATGACCCTCTCCTCGATGCAGATTGTCAAACCAGCTGACACGGTAAAACAATCAACATCCGTGATTAGAGAGCCGGAAGTACCGGTAATCATTTGCATATTGCACATGTGACCTAACATGTGATAACCGGTGAAGCTGAAATCAATTCCCGCTGTTTTTACAGTTGTATGAACAAGTGTTGGAGACGGTGTGTACAAGTGATTGTGGAATAAACACGCTGAATGTGAAGCAAACATAAGCCTAGTTAGTTACAACATAGTTAATTGGCGATTAAATTACTCACCATTGTCTCTTATATGTTATTACTTCATAAATGAATTTTATTTTACGGGCACCAATTTGGTGTCGTCCCGTGTAAACACAAAATGGCGACGTGTGCCGGAGTTACACATGCGACCTATCATTGTAGAAAAAAAACAAAGCAAGATAAACATATTTTTATTGCATATATAAGGTTTGTGTGCGCACTTGTGATGTCCGTGTGCGAAATACGCATCAGTCGGAAAGCGCACATTAAATCTCCAAAGTAACTAACTTACTAATTTGTGATGTCCGTGTGCGAAATACGCTACAGTCGGCAAGAGCACGTTAAATTTTCTATATCAGTCAGACTTTTGATGTGCTTCATTCCAGGTCGCCTTATACACGGAGTATAGGATTTTGGGTTGATTTTTAAGGCGTGTACAGGGGGGTCGTCTTATACGTGGGGTCGCCTTATACACAGCGATATACGGTACTTGATATCTTTTGCGTTGAGAATAGACAGGGACCCAGTTGAATTGGCACCAATTACGTCATAATCTAAGGGGGATAACTCAGGCCTGTTTAGCTCGAAAAACGAAGGCCTCATAACGGCATATCATTTTCACACTATTGTGAGCTTCCTACGTTCACTGTGAAAAAAATGAGTGTATATTTTCAAACACAGATACTAATTAATTCTAAAATTGCGTTTTGTTTAGAAAAAGAAAGAAAGTGATTTTTGCGTGTACACTTCCCCTTTAAGCAATAATCCAGCAATATCACGGCGGGGGACATCAGAAATGGGCTTCACACATTGTACCCAAGGGACCCCCCACCCTTTTGTAAGTGAAAGTATAACCCTGTACTCCCTGTTTTGACAGCCCACCTGGTCCTGAGATGCCAAGGAGTGACGGACCACCTACCCATTGCACCCTGCGGTCTCTGGGCTTGCTGCAGTCAGGGGCTGCACAGGTCTCTTCCTCATACCACTCCACGCCATCCTCCAGTTTCTCGTCATCTGTCAGTCTCACCCGCGTCCTCTTGGTGCGTGGCGCGAAACGCCTTGCTGGAAAGACAAGGCCGATTAATCTGTAAGCACTGTCAGATCTACATCAAACTGAATGCTGTGGGAATAGAGATAGGAATAACAGTATCAAACCAATGACACATAAAGATGGTTACGGGGATTTTTACTATGATGTACAGGTAAGTGGGGAATAAAGCACTTTATCATCAAAAACTGGCTCCCAAAGGAGATATCCCTTGGGTGAGATCAAGCGATATCTACATTGAATCAGACAATCCAGTGATTGACATCACGAGCCTCGATCCACACAATTGGGATACGATGACATGCATCAACCAAGACAGCGAGCCTGACCACCCGATCCTGTTAGCCGCCTCTTACGACAAGCATAGTTGCCTTTATGACAAGCATGGATTGCTGAAGATATGTTCTGCCCCGAATCTACCCGGGTTTAGGGAACACGACAAAATCAGTAAAACAAGAAAATAGACTGGTCTGGTTTATAATCTTTTTGTGATAATCATTCATCAACACTTTCACCATCGTTCACAGGTCATCCATCTCCAGAGAACACATACGGGAAGTAGCCGCTGGTCTCGACCAACAAACCAAGCCATGGCCTGGTTCCTCCTGGAGGGAAACCCTGTCACACCAATCGGCACTCAGATTACATCGCACAAACGGCAATATTTCTAACGCAACATGTGATACAGTGTGGCATCCATCTACTCCCCATGTTGCTTCAAGCAATGGTTGGGTTCGCCCAAAAGTCATGCACGTTCATTGAGCACAATCGACTTGCACTAGTTACCACACAGCAAAGCTGCCGTATGTATTCACGGTGTATGAAGTGAGTGAGTGAGTTTGGTTTTACACCGCTTTTAGCAATATTCCAGCAATATCACGGCGGGGGACACCAGAAATGGGCTTCACACATTGTACCCATGTCAGGAATTGAACCCGGGTCTTCGGCATGACGAGGGAACGCTTAAACCACTAGGCTACCCGACAGCCCCCGGTGTATGAAGGAACATACAGCATACACAAACTAGTGAAGTATTGACGATGATCAAGTTTGTGCCCGATGCATCCATACCTTTCCTCCTCTTGTTGGGGTTGGAGCCTGGCTGACCACTGGTCCTGGTGTCTGATGATTTGCCTGAAACAGGAGAACACATTACACCACAGGAACATCACAGGAATATCACAGGAACATCACAGGAATATCACAGGAATATCAGTCAGTGAGGCAGACATGTCCCTGATCAAACTGTCCACTCTCCTACAAGAGTTCCATGCGGCCAGCGACATGAGACAATGTCACATCTTACACACTCCATTCAAAATATTGCATATGTTTTCTGTTTACACATATAGATAAAGATGTCATCGAATATTGAATTTTCATTGAGACAATATCCCAAAGCGTGAAAAACAATTTCCATTTGCATATTTATCCTTTCTATCAATTGGATGTACGGCTCCATGCACTGGTATCGAAGCCCCACGGAGAGCTAGCGATACGGCCAATTTGATGATTAAAGATATCTTGTTATGCACCTCGGTGTTGCAGTTGCAGTTGCAGTAGCACATCTTTAAAATTGTGAAGCGCACCAAAATGCTTTTTTATTTTTTTAAATTTCAGGATAAGTTTGTGTGTTTACAAATCAAGAGATGTCTGGTCACATGATATGCAAATTAGCCTGTGGCAGTGGTGTGATGCTACAGACTGTTATCAATGTTCTACATGTATTTTGTGAATATGGCAACGTGAGCTGTATCAGGCCAGACATTGAAAGCTTGATAAATAGTCAACAAACATGAAAATATGAATGTTCTTCTATTCTTTTTATCAAAACATAATGATCCTATCAACATCACTAGTATTGTAACAAAAACAATTATCTTCCACTTTAAAGTTTACAAACATCAGTCCAGTTTATAGTGAGTGAGTATGGTTTAACGCCGCTTTTAGCAATATTCCAGCAATATCACGACAGGGGACACCAGAATGGGCTTCACACATTGTACCCATGTCGGGAATCAAACCCGGGTCTTCGGTGTGACGAGCGAACGCTTTAACCACTGGGCTACCCGACCGCCCCTGTCCAGCTTATAAAGGAGTTTACTCAATTCTATAATTTAATAAAGTACACTGTCAATATAATAAAGTACACTGTCAACGTCACCTGTAAAAGAGATAACTTTTAAACTAAGCAGACCTTTCGCCAATTCTAAATATAAAATATTCATAACAGGTACTAAATATCATGAATATAGCCTTGGAAAGTGTAGCCTTGCTGGTATGACCAACTCAAATGACGGCAGTATTTTGTTCCGATTATGAACATGCTTTAGGACAAGCTCTCTGATTGGTTGTTCAGAGGATCACATAGCCAATTGCACAACATATTGTAAAAAGTCATGGCAGACTCTCTATCCACTGGACCATGAGACGGTCACAAGCACATTTACAAGTCTCTCTTAATATAAGAATTTTTGTTTTGTAAAAACATCTTAATCTCTATACAGTATGTCATAAAATGATACATCATGTTATTTTAGGGAGGCACAGACATAACGGAGGATAATATTTGGTTTTACAATATTTGATGTGTTTTTTTATACGAACTATAAATGGAAATTGTAAAACAAATAATAAATAAATACAAAAACACACAAAAAAATCCCTATCTATCGTACCTACATACCCTAATTTTAAAACTGCTATTATCAGAACAACAAAATTTCTTCCGTGTGGCCTAAATAGCAAAAGACACGAGTTGACAACCTGGTCTTTGTGCGTACAAAGTTTCATGAAAGAAACAGATGGATGGACAGACAGACAGGCTACTTACTATATCCCCCCCATATTACATACTAGGGATATAATACACATATATCATGTATATATCACTAACCCTACTCCTGTCAAGTTCCCAGCAATTTTCATTCTCTTTCTGGAGTGTAAATAATAAATGGTAACGACATTGCATTGCAAAGTCTCTGAATTCCCCAAAACACTAAAATATTTTTTGCATGCATAAAACAGTCAACGGAAACATCATATCAGAATAATCAATAATGGAAATGAGGACATGAAATCCTTTGACATTTTACAACAGAGACAGGACTGAACAGAAAGCTTCACAAATGCATATTTTCGCTCACTTCAATAATCTCAAATATCTGTTTTAAATACAATAACCTCACATTGTGATGATATAAATCCTTGCATTCAACTTTGATCTTTGAAATAAGCAGTGCAAAACTGGATTTGAACACACAATTATGGTGAGGTGAGGTGAAATTGGGTTTAACGTCGCGTCCAAGATTATTGCACTTACATAGCGATGTGCATGTACGTGTGTGTGTTTGTGTGGCTGCTTGTACTAGTCTGGACTGATGCTGATTTATAGTGCTAGCTCACTGAGATACCATGCCGCAGTTTAACATGAATACCCCACTCAGACACAGTATACTGACTCCGAGCCGACCAGTCCTTGTTTTAGCCCCTTAATGCCGAGCACCAGACAGGGTAACAACAAGTATCATCTTTTAATGTCTTTTGGTATGATGCGGTCGGGGATCGAACCCTGGACCTTCCGCTCTCCAGGCAGATGCTCTACCATTAGACCCAATTATGCCTGAGGGACATGGCCTAAGATGACTTGCCCCCACTCACACGTACTTTTGTAAGGGCATACCACGACAGACCTCAGAAACCTATATTCAGCCCTAAATCTGTGTGTACTATGTGGATTAACACAGCACTCTGCAATAAAACAGATCGGATGAGAGACATTGTTTGTTTTTTGTTTAACGCCACATTCAGGTGGAGTCAGCAATATTCCAGCTATGTGACGGCAGTCTGCAAATAGTCGAGTCTGGAACAGACAATCCAGTGATTGACATCATGAGCATCGATCTACACAATTGGGATACGATAACATGCCTCATCCGTCCAATCCCATAAGTCGCCTCTTATGACAAGAATAGTTGCCTGTTACGGTAAGCATGGGTTGCTGAAGACCTATTCTACCCCGGATCTTCATGGGTCTGTAAATAATCGACTCAGGACCAGGCAATCAATGATTGATGTGAGCGATGATCCACAATGCCCGTGGATGATGACATGTTTTTATTGTTTGTTTGTTTGTTGTTTAACAAGGCACTCAGCAATATTCCAGCTATATGACGGCAGTCTGTAAATAATCAAGTCTGGACCAGACAATCCAGTAAGTAATATCATAAGCATCGATCCACGCCATTGGGATACGATGACATGCATCAACCAAGTCACTGAGCCCGATCACTGCCTCTTGCAGACAGCATATATCATTATTCCAGCTACCCGGTATATGACAGTGGCCTGTAAATAATAGAGTCTGGACCAGACAATCCTGTGATTGTGATATTGTGACCAACAAGCCATGCCATGAGTCAATCCATTTGGTTGCCTCTTATATTCTGGAAGGTAATTTAAGGTACAGATGTTTACTACAATATCTGGCCCTGTGACGCAGGGGTAGCATTATGCAGATGGCTGTTACAATGAATGCTGGTTCCACCCGTGACGAACAAGTCTGGTTGTTGATGAAATATAGTGATAGCTAAATAGACAGATTTTTTATTCATGCACCGATTATCTTTAAATGTAATATCCAGTTATGGATGACTGTTTAATAATCTCATACCAACTTTGACTGAAATAGGTCCATTAGTTTTTCAGATATTGTAGTAAACATCGGTACCTTAAATTACCTTCCAGACTTATACAATCAGCATAAGTTGCTGGGGACCTGTTCAAGCCTATATGACATGGCCAATATTAAGGAAGTGGATTTCTTCTTCAGTTTTATTTGATTGCATTGAGTGTGATCCTAAAATAACTCTGACAGTAATTAAGCAAATCTGAACTCTTTAATAAAATTATTCTGTGTGTTAAATGAAACATTGCATGCAAAACAGTTAACAAGGGTAAGGTCAACACAGTTAACAAGAGTAAGGTCAACAAAGTTACCAGGGTCAAGGTCAACAAAGACAACATGGTCAAGGTCATCAAAGTTAACATGGTCAAGGTCAACAAAGTTACCAGGGTCAAGGTCAACAAAGTTAACATGCTAAGGTCAACAAAGTTAACATGCTAAGGTCAACAAAATTACCAGGGTCAAGGTCAACAAAGTTAACAGGGTCAAGGTCAACAAAGTTACCAAGGTCAAGTACCGGTCTTATTATCGTCTGCACTGAGTGACCCCAACAAACTGGACACTTGCACATGGAGAAACTGGAGACATCGCTCTCCTTCAAGGAACAGAAATGTTATGACAAACAGCAAGGGAGAAAATTATGGATGCTTTCAGCAACACCATGACAGGGAATTATTTCCTTATAACTATGTGGGAATCAAACCCTGATCTTCCATGATGTCAAGCAAACACCTCACCATAATGAGTCCTGTTTTAATTAATCGATTAAGTTGCTAAGCTTACATTTCAAGCAAACATGAAGCAGGGAGTTGACATTTTTAAATCAAAATAAACATGTGATGGTGTTTTCATGCGTACATGTACACAGATATGCAGGTTATCATGCTTAAGTGGAGTTCTGCACCTGGCAAAATCTAATCTCGCTACTTGACAATACACTTCGTCAGATCCAAAGATGAGATTAACATTTGATGAGAAAGACAAATATCCTACATACCGTATTCGACGTAATAAGCGCCCAGGGTGCTCTCAAAATTAGAAATAGTGGGCTCTTATTGGAATATCATTCTGGTAAAAAAAACACAGTTTATGCTGACAGCCTGAAATATTTATATACGACAGATATATTTTTCCAGAATTTATTGCCCATAATTAGGGGTGCATATAACACACAAGTGCGTATAATAATAATAAATAAGTCTTGTGTACATTGATCAATCGGAAAGGGGTGCTATTTATAGGATTGTTCACTGGCCAATATATTAGCAAATATCGCCGTGGGCGCTTATTTGAACGGGACGCTTATTACGTCTAATACGTATCTTCAGGGGTCTTAAAGATTTCAGGGTAACAAGGCTTCCCTGTATTAAGTATGTTGGTGTGTTCCTAGGCCAAAAGAAAATATGTTTCCCTCCTCCTCTCTCCTCCCCACCCCCACCCCCTATATCCTGGTGTTGTCCATGTCACATTCCACTGGTGTACATATGTCGCACTTCATATGAGTGAGTGAGTGAGTGAGTTGGGTTTTACGCCGCTTTTAACAGTATTCCAGTTATATCACGGCGTGTCAGCTTAATGTGGGAGGAAAGCCCAAAGTGATGCAGGTCTCAGACGTTTACCACTTCGGTGAAACCCACGGGCACGGGTATGGTGCTGACAAACCTAGAAACATAATCGGGGCGAACCGGGATTCGAACCCACAATCATAGGTTTCTGGCGTCTGCACAGCGAATTGCGGCGCCTTAGACGACTGGGCCACCCGTGCCCCCCCTTCACTCAGAGATGTCAAGTGAGGTGAGGTGAGGTGAGGTGGGGTTTAATGTCGCATCCAAGATCATTGCACTTTTATAGCGACGTGCATGCACACGTATGTGCGTGGGTGTGTCTGCTTGTACTACCCTGGACTGATGCCGATTTATAGTGCTATCCAGCGGTAGAAACTAACATTTTTGGTCCACTTGTCCTTATAATGATAATATATAGCAAAACCCTTAAAAATGGCAAATTTCTACTTGTCCTTATGACACCTTAACTACTAGACAGTTTGACTAGTGCCAATTTCTAACTCTGCTATCTCACTGAGATACCATGCCACACCTTAACATGAATATCCCACTCAGACACAGCATACTGACTCCTAGCGGCCCTTTAATGCCGAACAGGTACCATCTTTTAACGTCTTTTGGTATGACACGGCCGGGGATTAAACCCTCATTGAACATGGGGGTTTATTACAGCAAATATGGTACCTGCATGACCTGGATGAGCTGAAATAGGAAGCACACACATATTGAGGGAGCTGTCATACTTACTATCACTGTCCTCACTGAACATAGAGTTGGTTTCACCGTCGTGGTCCTTCCTGCAATGGAAGAGAGGTACCTGGTCAAATTAATAATGGACAACCAAAATATCCCCTTACACTTGCCCTGGATTCCTAGAGACTGATCATATGGCTCCAGTGAGTACCATATACATGATATAACTTGTCAATTTTCTCGGTTAATTTTACGCCCTGAATAATCATTACATGCCCATGATATGGGTTTGAAATTGAGAGGGTCCATGGGTCCATGAGGAATGTTACAATAGTATTTGAATCAGGGAACCCCTAAATCTTCATCTTTTAGCAAGAGCGAGCGAGTTGGGTTTAATGTCACTTGGAACAATATTTCACTTATATCACAAGGTGTCAACTTGATGTGGGAGTAATGCCCAATGTGAGTGAGTAAGTGAGTTGGGTTTAATGTCACTTGGAACAATATTTCACTTATATCACAAGGTGTCAACTTGATGTGGGAGTAATGCCCAATGTGAGTGAGTAAGCGAGTTGGGTTTAATGTCACTTGGAACAATATTTCACTTATATCACAAGGTGTCAACTTGATGTGGGAGTAATGCCCAATGTGAGTGAGTAAGTGAGTTGGGTTTAATGTCACTTGGAACAATATTTCACTTATATCACAAGGTGTCAACTTGATGTGGGAGTAATGCCCAATGTGAGTGAGTAAGTGAGTTGGGTTTAATGTCACTTGGAACAATATTTCACTTATATCACAAGGTGTCAACTTGATGTGGGAGTAATGCCCAATGTGAGTGAGCGAGCGAGTTGGGTTTAATGTCCCTTGGAACAATATTTCACTTATATCACAAGGTGTCAACTTGATGTGGGAGTAATGCCCAATGTGAGTGAGTAAGCGAGTTGGGTTTAATGTCACTTGGAACAATATTTCACTTATATCACAAGGTGTCAACTTGATGTGGGAGTAATGCCCAATGTGAGTGAGCGAGCGAGTTGGGTTTAATGTCACTTGGAACAATATTTCACTTATATCACAAGGTGTCAACTTGATGTGGGAGTAATGCCCAATGTGAGTGAGTAAGTGAGTTGGGTTTAATGTCACTTGGAACAATATTTCACTTATATCACAAGGTGTCAACTTGATGTGGGAGTAATGCCCAATGTGAGTGAGTAAGCGAGTTGGGTTTAATGTCACTTGGAACAATATTTCACTTATATCACAAGGTGTCAACTTGATGTGGGAGTAATGCCCAATGTGAGTGAGTAAGTGAGTTGGGTTTAATGTCACTTGGAACAATATTTCACTTATATCACAAGGTGTCAACTTGATGTGGGAGTAATGCCCAATGTGAGTGAGTAAGTGAGTTGGGTTTAATGTCACTTGGAACAATATTTCACTTATATCACAAGGTGTCAACTTGATGTGGGAGTAATGCCCAATGTGAGTGAGTAAGTGAGTTGGGTTTAATGTCACTTGGAACAATATTTCACTTATATCACAAGGTGTCAACTTGATGTGGGAGTAATGCCCAATGTGAGCGAGCGAGCGAGTTGGGTTTAATGTCACTTGGATCAATATTTCACTTATATCACAAGGTGTCAACTTGATGTGGGAGTAATGCCCAATGTGAGTGAGTAAGTGAGTTGGGTTTAATGTCACTTGGAACAATATTTCACTTATATCACAAGGTGTCAACTTGATGTGGGAGTAATGCCCAATGTGAGTGAGTAAGTGAGTTGGGTTTAATGTCACTTGGAACAATATTTCACTTATATCACAAGGTGTCAGCTTGATGTGGGAGTAATGCCCAATGTGAGCGAGTAAGTGAGTTGGGTTTAATGTCACTTGGAACAATATTTCACTTATATCACAAGGTGTCAACTTGATGTGGGAGTAATGCCCAATGTGAGCGAGTAAGTGAGTTGGGTTTAATGTCACTTGGAACAATATTTCACTTATATCACAAGGTGTCAACTTGATGTGGGAGTAATGCCCAATGTGAGTGAGTAAGTGAGTTGGGTTTAATGTCACTTGGAACAATATTTCACTTATATCACAAGGTGTCAGCTTGATGTGGGAGTAATGCCCAATGTGAGTGAGTAAGTGAGTTTTGGGCAATATTCCAGCAATATCACGGCGGGGGACACCAGAAATGGGCTTGTACCCATATCAGGAATCAAACTCGGGTCTTCGGCGAGACCTGTATACATGGTATACAGATACCTGTATTACAATATATTGCAAAACGAGTATGTTGCCAATGCACAATGGTGACATAACACCCTGGACTAGAGAGGATGATTCGTTGGGTGTCATAGCTACTTACCTGAAGTTAGAGTTCTGTACAGCATCAGTGAAAAACGATTGTCCAAAGGCAAGAGTCTCATTGTTTGTGAGGGTGTCACACGACCCATCTTGTTGGTGAATGACTGGATTATGAGATTGGTCGTAGGACTCGCCCATGGGACTAGGTGCGGAGCTATCTTTCATGGCGTCATCGTTACTGTCGGACATAATACTCCAGATATTCCGACCCCCCTTGCCATCCCCATCACACTCATCGTAACTACTGGAACTCTTAGCACTGTTCGGTCGGGAATTGCACTTCCGTTTTGTATTCGCTGGCCCTTTCATTTCACTCATTTCCAAACTTGCATCAACCTGTTTACAAGGCGACACATCCTCAGTTCTTGCGACAGGCACGTCTGAGCCATTTTCATCTTCACTTTTGTTAAAGTCACAGTGGTCACTTAAATTTGATTTGGTTTGGAATGTCTCGCGTTCCCCTTGAACGTCTTTGACAAAAGCCTTAGGACTGTCCACCTCTTCATCTTGACTAGATGCTTCTCCTGAATTCCCATTGGTTAACACAGGACTTTTGCATTGATTTGATTGGTCGACTTCACTTACGTTACCACAGTTACCCTCAGAACATTCAGTGTGACTTTCGGCTGAATCTGCTGCTCCAAGAATCTCCACTTCTTCCATGAAATCTGGCACTTCGGGTGTTGACGCACTTTTCTGCACATGACACACTTTGGGGGTTGGACAATCAGTACTTACATTTTTCAATCTACCACTTTCTAAATCGTTTTCTTCCCCTCTTGTGACAGGTATGGTTGGGCTGGCTGGCAGTGTGTGTTCCTGAATGGTGGGAGATCTACACGTTCGTAAAGCACCCTGTTTGTCCAACGTGTCACAACACTCGCTGCGGTCGTACTCCGGCGAGGAGGGCAGTTTGCGGGTGCCACAACACGTCCTGGTTTGGTGGTACTCCACACTGTCCAGGCCCTGGTGCTTGGGCAGCTCATGGCGCTTCTGGAACTTCTCAAACTACAAACAGGTCAAGATCGGGTGAGTGAGTGAGTGAGTTGGCTTTAACGCCGCTTTTAACATTATTCCAGTTATATCGTGGCGTGTTAGCTTAATGTGGGAGGAAAGCCCGAAGTGATGCAGGTCTCAGACGTTTACCACTTCGGTGAAACCCACGAGCACGGGTATGGTGCTGACAAACCTAGAAACATAATCGGGCGAACCGGGATTCGAACCCACAATCATAGGTTTCTGGCATGCCCAAGGGACGCAACTCTGCACAGCAAATCGCGGCGCCTTAGACGACTGGGCAACCCGTGCCCCCCAAGATCGGGTGAGAGTGTGTGAGTATGGTTTTACGCCGCTTTTAGCAATATTCCAGCAATATCACGGCAGGGGACACAAGAAATGGGCTTCACACATTGTACCCATGTTGGGATTTGATCCCGGGTCTTCGGCGTGACGATCGAACGCTCTAACCACTAGGCTACCCGACTGCCCCAGATCGGGTGTGAGACATTGTTTGAATGTTGTTTAACGCCACACTCAGACGAAGTTAGCAATATTCCAGCTAATATGGTGGTGGTCGGTAAATAATCAAATCTGGACCAGACAATCCGGTGATTGACATCATAAGCATTGCGATATGATGACATGCATCAACCAAGTCAGCGAGTCCTGTTAGTCGCCTCTTCCATCAAGCAAGGATGGATGAATGTAACATCTACAAATAGGTCAAGGTTGGATGAGAGACAAGGATGGATGAATGTAACATGTCTACAAATAGGTCACAGTTGGATGAGAGACAAGGATGAATGAATGTAACATCTACAAATAGGTCAAGGTTGGATGAGAGACAAGGATGGATGAATGTAACATGTCTACAAATAGGTCACAGTTGGATGAGAGACAAGGATGGATGAATGTCACATCTACAAATAGGTCAAGGTTGGATGAGAGACAAGGATGGATGAATGTAACATCTACAAATAGGTCAAGGTTGGATGAGAGACAAGGATGGATGAATGTAACATATCTACAAATAGGTCAAGGTTGGATGAGAAACAAGGAAGAATGAATGATGACATGGACCCCGTAACTTTCAGGATTAATTATAACACTACAATGATGACATATTACAAGTTATAGCGTCAAAACCTATAAAATACTGGTCTCGTTCTCAGACAATTATAAGTAACCTTTAGGAAAGCTATGAATCAATCATAACATCATAAAACAGGAAATTTTAAAGATCTTAATCATGTGCTGTCAACCTTCAACTGAATACTGGTGTCAGATCTCTGATCGGCTGACATAAAATAAGCATTATTCTGTATCTATACTTCTGGTTTTAACTATCTGTACATTAGAGTGAGTGAGTCAGGTTTTACACCGCTTTTAGCAATATCCCAGCAATATCACGGCGAGGGACACCAGAAATGGGCTTCACACATTGTACCCATGTCAGGAATTGAACCCAGGCCCTTGGCATGATGAGTGAGTGAGTGAGTATTGTTTTACGCCGCTTTTAGCAATATTCCAGCAATATCACGGCAGGTGACACCAGAAATGGGCTTCACACATTGTACCTATGTCGGGAATTGAACCCAGGCCCTTGGCATGATGAGTGAGTGAGTGAGTATGGTTTTACGCCGCTTTTAGCAATATTCCATTAATATCACGGCGGGGGACACCAGAAATGGGCTTCACACATTATACCCATGTCGGGAATCGAACCCGGTCTTCGGCGTGACGAGCGAACGCTTTAACCACTAGGCTACCCGACCGCCCCCTTGGCATGATGAGCGAACGCTTTAACCACCAGGCTACCCCACCGCCCCCTTGGCATGACAAGCGAACGCTTTAACCACTAGGCTACCCGACCGCCCCCTTGGCATGACAAGCGAACGCTTTAACCACCAGGCTACCCCACCGCCCCCCTCTTTATATCAGGAGATAGGTCGTGGTCAACATTTCAGTTTTACAGCAAGAAGTCCACTGTTCTCATGGTTAAGTTAACCATATTTTCTTGAGTATAGTGCGCAGCCAAGAATAATGCGCATCCCCCTCTAGCGGATTCAGTAGTTTGGAGAAAAAAAATTCAAATATTATGCGCAGAAAAAATTATACTGCACCCCTTCAGCGAATTCCGGTAAACGAACGGGTGATGAGAAACTTGGTAAGTACAAATTTGAAATTAGAGATAAACAAGTATTTGTCACAGAAGTGACGAAATATCCCCCGCCTGTATATACACCATAGTTCCAAATATTAAGACAATCCTGCGATTAGTTCTTGAGATATCGCGGCAACACCGTTTTCCAACTCCAAAAGCAGATTTACCTGCTGTGACCTTGAAAATGGGCTCAAGGTCACCAAAACCGACTGGTGTCTGCGGAGTCTGTATATACACCATAGTTCCAAATATGAAAACAATCCAGTGTTTAGTTCTTGAGATATCGCGGCAACAAACAGGTGGGACGTACGGACGGACGGACGTACGGACGGACGTACGGACGTACGGACGGTCGTGAATACTATATCCCCCACTTCGCGCTTTCGCGCGGCAGGGGATAAAAAATCACCAGACATGTTGATTTACCGTTTAAATTGTATTTTTTGTTCTGCTAGGCATTGTTTTACGTCAAGGGATTAAGATTACCTTGTGTATTTTCTCGTAAACTAAGCCGGAAACAACAATCAGCTGTACACACGGTTTCTTGGAATCTACCGGTGATCCGGTCAAGATACACCCAATGATATAACTTTACAGGATGCAGGTTTTTTTTAAAAAAGAGTGTGCACTATACTCAAGAAAATATGGTATATGTTGCTGTTGTCCGCAAAAATAACGTGAGGCGAGGTAAGGTGAGCCGAGGTGAGCCAAGGTGAGGTGAGGTGAGCCGAAGTGAGGTAAGGTGAGGTGAGCCAAGGTGAGCCGAAGTGAGGTAAGGTGAGGTGAGCCAAGGTGAGCCGAGGTGAGGTGGGCCAAGGTGAGCCAAGGTGAGGTGAACCAAAGTGAGGTAAAGTGAGGTGAGGTGAAAGGGGTCATGTTCAAGATAATGCACTCAGGACAGACACATTTAGTTTCATGTTTTGAACAGAGAGTGTGAGTATAGTTTTACGCCACTTTCAGCAATAATCCAGCAATATCACAACGAGGAACACAAGAAATGGGCTTCACACATTGTACCCATGTCAGGAACTGAACCCAGGTCTCTGGCGTGACGAGTGAACGCTTTAACCACTATGCCAGCCACCCTACTGACCTATTGACCTCCAGACAGGGCAAGCATACCCTAAACCAGGGCAATATTTTAGCATCTCCTTTTAAAATTTATAAAGTTTAATGTTTTCAGGTACCATCACCATTGCTGTAACTAAACTTTATATATGACCCGTGAAGATTCCGGGGTAGAATAGGTCTTCAGCAACCCATGCTTGCCATAAAAGGTGACTTTGCTTGTCGTAAAAGGCGACTAACGGGATCGGGTGGTCAGGCTCGCTGACTTGATTGATGCATGTCATCAATCCCAATGGCGTGGATCGATGCTCATGATGTCAATCACTGGATTGTCTGGTCCAGACTCGATTATATACAGACTGCCGTCATATAGCTGGAATATTGCTGAGTGTGGCGTTAAACAACAAACCAACCAACCAACTAAACTTTATGCACCCCTCATGGTATTACTGTACGATAAACAATGACCTCAAGTTGTTTTTTTATCGTATTTAACATATTAACATTATTTACAACCTCCCTAAGGGTGTTAATAAAATGGACAGGCTTTAAAAATATTAACCCCTATTGATATAATGATGACTCCCTGAATACAATCCCAAATCAGAAAGGTTGGACAAGTCCATTTTATGAAATGGGGGGTTGTGTCATTTCCTGAATATTCTAACAAATCACACATAAATTTTTCTCCTATTACATAGAGCTGTATCTCGTCCACTTGTGGATGCGATCGTTCGGCCATTGTGTTTTTCTGCATTGCACAGCCCAGCTATATCTAAGGGACCAATTACTACTCTCCAAAAAATAATGTCATCCAATTTATGACGTCCACAAGTCGCAGGTGTGTGCTCGAATCTCCATACATGATGTAATAAAAGAACAATGTTATTATCGTGAAACACACCAAGCCTCCTTCTTCATTGTTCTTTGCGATTTATCGCGTAGCTATTTTATATCTTCTGATACACTGGAATGTTCTACTCACCATAAACTGGAACTCGGAGTGAAGCTGGCGAGAGTACTGGCCCGGCTCGATCTTGTAACCATTTGTGTGTCCGAAAGTGATCTTGTCACCCTCGGTAAGAATACTTGATCCCTTGATCTGTGAAACAGAAACATGGAAAACCAACTGTTTTACGACTGATTGTACACCATCTGTTTCAGGTCCTGCCATTAATGGTTTGACATACCAGACATCCTGACGCCATTGTGTGAGTGTGAGTTGGGTTTAACGCCGCTTTTAACAGTATTCCGGTTACATCTCTGCGTATCAGCTTCATGTGGGAGGAAAGCCTGAAGTGATGCAGGTCTCAGACGTTTACAACTTCGGTGAAACCCACGAGCACGGGCATGGTGCTGACAAACCTAGAAACATAATCGGGGCGAACTGGGATTCGAACCCACAATCATAGGTTTCTGGCGTGCCCAAGGGACGCAACTCTCCACAGCGAATCGTGGTGCCTTAGACGACTGGGCCACCCATGCCCCCCTTGACATCATTGACGAGTGAGTACGGTTTTACGATGCCGTCACCCATATTGCTGGTAGAGAAAAGGTCATCATCAACCCTTGCTTGCCGTAAAAGGCGACTATGCTTGTCATAAGAGGCGACAAACGGGATTGGGTGGTCAGGCTCGCTGACTTGGTGGGCGCATGTCATCGTGTCCCAATTGCGTAGATCGATGCTCATGATGTCAATCACCGGATTGTCTGGTCTAGGCTTGATTATTTAGACAGCCGTCATATAGCTGGAATATTGGTGACTGCGGTGTAAACAACTACAGAGCTCCAGATAAGCTGCGATCTGCATAAAATATGCATCAGAAATGCAGAAATACGCAGTAAAATAAAATCCAAGCGTATCAAATAGGCAATGATCATTTCAGATATGCTACAAAAATAAAACTTGTGCGTATCATCAAAATATTGTGAAGTAACCCTGCATATTCGTTTAGCAAATCAGCAACTTATTTGGAAATTATAAACGGGCATTCCGTCAACCTTGCCAAACTCCATGATGACAGTTACATCATGATCATTTGCCATCACACTTTCTTGTGGAAGTATCATGGTATTTTTGAGTCCTATAAAGCTCTCGAACCAACACGACACCTGTTTGCAGGGACTAGATGAATAGTATTTTTAAATATTTAACTTAAATACCCACATGTGTAAAAACTACTGGGTAACAGAAATTTGAATACCCAGATATAATTACTGATACCCAATGATCTTAAAATGCATGGGTAAAATACCCACAACACCAAAAGCTTATCTGGAGCTCTGCAACTAACAAGCAAGCAAACACCGACAACATATAGCAGTACCACCCAAAATGTTAGAAATTCTACCATGTCTACAAGATTATGTAGATACCTTAAACATTAGCTAAACGGGAACGGGCTAGTGCTAATTTCCGTTAGGGCTGCAACGACACAGGAAGGTCATGATACGATACGCATCTCGATATTCTGATCACGATACGATACGTACCTCGATACGCAGTGATATAAAAACAAGACTTAAAGCATGTCAAGATTGAACCTTTCATGATTTTGGAACAGTCAGCATTATTTTATAATAACAAGACTACTGAAGATGTTAAGCTTCAAAGTGGAACTTTTTCTAACTTTCCTTCAAAACAATTCAAAGTTCAAACACCAGAAAATAATTATTGTATTTCACCAGTGATACAACTTTAAAGAATTTGTATGCAATGGTCCAAGAAATTGTAACTGAAATTATTGTTTTATCAGGAATAATATATTCCAATATCTTGTTATTTTAGTTGCAGCTTTTACAAAATATATTTAATATAATTATAACCCTAAGCTAGGCAGCTGATTGCTATTGCCAGTTATTATTTTTCACATGGAACCAGTTTGACAAGTCACCATCAAGGTTCCCGCGCACGTGATCGCGAGAACTACGTGTTGACATAGAATCGTCAAACTATAACAAATATGAATTTTAACGAGTCAAAGTATGGCATTTATGATATATGTATCCATTCTCTGTCAACTAAAGTTCGTTTCAAGGAGTCAATAGTGGTAATCCGACCATGGTTGCTGTTAATAACGGTGAGCAGTGCCATCTTCCTAATTGAAACAATATTAAAAGGTATTTTTTAATAAAATTAATGAAATAAGTTACAAACATAAGTCCAGATATACAAAGAACACTTTTTATAGCCAGACTGTGTAATTTCATGATTAATTTGCGTACTTCAGTATGGATTTGTTGACATGGTATACCCAACACAATGAGCACAACTTATTGACAGCCAAAGAAAGAAAAATAAACCATAATTACTATGCACATGTAAATGTTAATGCCCTGATATCATAGAAATAAAATACAAAATGAATTTCATGTAAATTTTTAAGTAAGGTAGATCTATGTGATTTTTCGTGGGAGGGAGACATGGTTATGTGACATTGGCAGGCCTTTACAGCAGCAATGGAATAAAGACAAAGAACTTGGTCAATGAGTGGATCATATTGAATAAACATAATAAAGACAGGTGTTTTTGTTGGAAATACTTCGGTTTGTTTACACTGTTCGGGCATGGTCAGTGTGTGAAGGTACGCACTTATAATACATACAAGAATACAGGAAGCGCGCTGCCTGCTTCCTCGCCACACAAACACTTGGCATGTGCAGCAGAGGGCAGCAAAGACAGGTGACAATGTCTTGGAAGGCTGTAAATGGCCAAGGCATGTGTGATAGTTTCAAGCGTGCCTCATCCCTATTTGACAGAATGGCAGCTCCATGCGAGACATATAAACTGTCAATTGAAATATATACATGAACTTACGACTGTCCCTGACCAGCAATGGAGATGCCACGAGACAGAATGTTGGAGTAGTGATGCCAGCCACAAGTAACATGCCACCATGGCCAGCTGATTGAGATAAACAAGGACCCTTGTGATCTTTCCTGTGATTGGTGCTTGCTGCTTCCGGTTAAGGAAAGGTGGGTGATTGGCTAGACTTGCTCCAAGTCTCTACTGAATGAGAAAGGCGGGGATTGACACCAAGCACAAGTTACATTTGTTGTTAGGGACATGGCGCGATTTTCCATAAATGACTTTAGATCAAGTAAAAGAGATAGCTAACCCATGCCCTTCTACATAACTAACCCTAATGATCGTAAAGGGGTGCTTGATCGTAAAGGGGTACCTAACCCTAATGATCGTAAAGGGGTACCTAACCCTAATGATCGTAATGGGGTGCTTGATCGTAAAGGGGTACCTAACCCTAATGATCGTAAAGGGGTGCTTGATCGGAAAGGGCTAAATAGAAAGTTGTGGTTAGCCTATGTTTGGATTGGAACACAGACCTGTGAAGTGAGAGCCACAATCGACAGCCTGAGTCAATTAGTGCCAAATCAGCTGGTCCCAGTAAAGTGCATCGACAGTTACTCCTTCACCATTGCTGTAATATACACAAAAAAGGAACTGTCGCGTAAATCTATTTTGGGATTATCTAGACTTGCTCGGAGGCCCATATTCTGCCTCAAGTCTGCGGCAAATAATTGTACAAATTCCCAATTTGAATGTAAAATTTCCCAATTCCTCAGAAAGTACGAAAATCTTACATTACAAAATTCAAATTTTGAACTATATCCCAATGTTTACCCAATTTGCCTGCCAATTCTAGATACATCCTTGCTATTATAGGAGCGGTGAGCTTGATACCACAAATACAGCACACCACATGACAAATATTATCGAGAACAATGAGACCAAGGTAAAATCACCTACCTTTCACAATCTTCCATTAAGCAGAAAATATCAGGGGCTGTGGTAAGTTGTGTCAGGAGATTATGTTGGTGGTCACGGAGGCATCTTGGAGAGGGTCTGCAACAATGTCCAACACAATGAGCACAAGTGATTCACAGACCACTCTCAATGCTCTGATACTTTGGAAACCAACAAAACCATGAATTTCTTTGAAATTTAGATATAAAGGTTTTAATAAAGATGTCACTTTGGTTCATGATACTGGGATAATTACAGAACTGTTACCATGGTTTCAATCAAGTGGTAACACAAGGAGACTAATGTCAACAATATTATTGACTTTTACCTTAGGTAATGTGCATATTGAAGAAAAGCAGATGTTAAAGGTAATAGTCAATGATACAATGAACTTGGCAGGATGGGGGGGGGGGGGGGGAGGGGGGAGGGGAGAGGGGGAGGGGGGAAGGAGAGAGGGAGGGAGGGAGCCAGGGAGCCAGGAGGGGGACATCAGTTCGGCAGGCCGGTACCACAGCAATGGAATAAAGACAAAGAACCTGATCAGTCAAAGGAGCATAATGAATGTATACTCATCATAAAGGGATGTGTGTTTTTTTAAGGAAATACGGTAGTTGAATACTTAGGTTTGTTTACATTGAGGGACGTGATGAAGTTGATTAATGATAATAAATTGCAGTTCTTCTGTCGGATGAAATACGGTAGCTGTATACTCTGTTATAGGGCTTGGTCAGTGTGTGAAGGTACGCATTTATCACCCATACACGAATACAGAAAGCCCCCTGCCTGCTTCTTTGCCACGAAAACACTTGCAATTTGCACCAGAGAGCGGCAAAAACAGGTGACATTTTCTGTGATGAAAGAAAAACTTGGAACATGCTTCGTCCCTGGTTGACAGAATGGCCGCTCTGTGCGGGAAATAAAAGATGTGGAGTGAAATATATGAATGAATTTACCTTCAGATGCATGTGCATAATCGTCCCCTCCCTCGATGGAGATGCGACGAGAGCGAGCGAGCGAGCACCTTGGGTGTGTTGATGCCAGCCTGCCACAATCAGATACGTGAGCCGCCATGGTCAGCGATTGCGGAAATGACGGCCTTGGCATTAGTGATCTCGCTTGTGATTGGTGCTTTGCCGCTTCCTTCCGGGTGTATAAACTGCGTTTTTTGGCGGTCGGTGCAGTGGCCAGATGCTCTCGGTGTAGCCGGTGGCCTTTGAGTGGCTTGGTACCGTCTGGCTAAACTGCGTTTCTTGGCGGTCGGTGCAGTGGCCAGATGCTCTCCGTGTAGCCGGTGTAGTCACGTGTTGGATTTGCATGAAAAGTGGAAAGAAGTAGAAAAAAGTGGAACTAGTGTACGATGAATAAAAACTATTCCCAATTTTAGAAAAAATAAGTATAACTATGCAATAATTTGTTTTAGAGACAACAGAAGATGTGAATGTGAAGGCAGCGTTAGAAATTAGCACTAGTCCTGTAGTCCTTGCCAAACTGCCCAATGGTAAAGGTATGCAAAGTACAAGTAGAAATTGGCCCATTTTAAGGGTTTTGCTATATGTTATCATTATAAGGACTAGTGGACTAAAACTGTTATTTTCTAACCCTGTGAAGGTAAAGTAATGAGGAGTATAAAAGGTGCAGACGAGGTGTAAGATGTATAAATGGTGACAATTGGAGAAGAGAGTTAAAACTGCATTGCAAGCAAGAAAGAAAGAAAGAAAGAAAGAAAGACAAGACACAATTTATGCCACATAGTGAAGGAAGTAAAATGAACACTTTGTAATTGTATTTTTTGCTTTGAATTTGTAGTGAACTTTTGTGTAAAAAATGTGATGAAATGAAAGACAAGAGAAGTTAATTTACAATATTGTGTTTGAAAGCGAAGCCGTGTGTAAAATGAACACTTTAAAATTCTATCTTATTTTTCTATTTTTTTTAAATTGTAGTGAAATTTTCTGAAAAATACATTGTGTTTGAAATCGAAGCCGTAAACATGGAAGAAAGCGGGGCAGAAGCGGGTTAAAAGCGGAGACTGGGTAATTGAGGCAAAAGAACGGAAAGGGAGAAAAGCGAAGAGGACGAAGCCGGAATTGTGGGTGAAAGCCGAGCAAAAGCGTGTTAAAAGCGAGGAAGAAGCGGAGTAAAAGCGGGGCGTGGATAATCGAGGCTAAAGAACGGAAAGGGAGAAAAGCGATTAGTCGGTCGATGAAAAGGAAGCGATCGGATTGGCTCGGGTCGAAGGGTGAGAGTTGAGCGTGGGGTTCATGTAGCTTGTAAGTAGTTCTTTTAAAAAAGAGTTCCTTCCAGAAAGGGCGTTTGCACCCACTCAGGGTGCCCCTGGGCCAAAGCGAACGGTGCCAAGAGACTGCCGACCAAACCTGGAGACACAAGCACTTTCGAAAGGACCCACAAGTACCACGAAGTGGATTTACAGACGGGTGTGAATTGTCTGGAAAACACCCTTTCTATTTATAAACGTTGGGATATAGCGCGAGATTAACAAGACGACTGGTGGCCCCATTAGCGCTGTGAAATAATACCTTCTGGCTTATGGGCGTACAGGATAGTTTTTCTGGCCCCTGGATGTTTTATTTGTAGGTTCTAAGCTCGCGGCATTCCCCGTTAACCACAAGTGCCGGTTTTCTTCCTGGGGCCCAAAATTGAATACCAAACGTGTGTTGCACGTTGAATGATAGTTCAAGTTTTGCAAATACGCCCAAAATGCTGAAGCCACAAAGACATATACTATTGGTAAATTCTGAAACAGAAAGATCAACACTATTCGTTGAAAAAGAATAATATTTGTGGACCATTATATGTTATATTTATATAGATCTTACTATTTCCCAGCGCACTTTTTGAAATATAAATCAATAATTGTTACTACAAATGGCCAAAATGACAAACGTTTTACTTGATATACTGCAAACCATGGGTAATCATATGGTTCCATGTGCTGGGCTTTAGTATAGTAAGAAGAAGCGATGGTTTGTTGAGTGTCAAAGCAGCACTCTGAATTGTATCAATGTTAAAGTGAAACGCATTGCTGTGTGGTCTTTCTTCGTGATTCACTTGTATTGATGGAAGAGAGGACTAAAACTCATTTAGTATGGGGGTGTGACACTGAATGGCCGATTTGTTCTGGATAATGTTGCACAATGTTGGACATTATATACATGGTATCATAGCCTCTCCAGTTTCATTCCTTTTCTGATCATTCAGCAGAATATGTATTAATATGCTTAAATGTATACATATCTTGTTCCAAAACTGGAAGGACATGTTGTTTCTGTTAAAGTACCTTGTGTTTCCATACAAACACAAATATCAATTATGATGTTATGATGAGCATATGACTTTAATGGTCACGACACAAGCATAATGTATGACACAAGCCTAACGATGCAGGTACTTTTCCTCCCCTTCCCCTCCCCTCCCCTCCCCTCAGACGCACCCCCCCCCCCCCCCCCCCCCCCCCGCTCAGACGCACCGGAAGTGAACATCAGGCAAACCGGAAGTGGATATCGGGCAAACTAGAAGCGGGCAGACCGGAAGTGGACATCAAGCAAACCGGAAATGTGCATCGGACAAACCGGAAGTGGACATCGGGAAAAACGGAAGCGGGAAAACCGGAAGTGGACAAAAGGCAAACCGGAAGCGGGCACACTGGAAGTGGACAAACCGGAAGTGAACATAAGGCAAACCGGAAGCGGGCATCGGGCAAACCGGAAGTGGACATCATAAAACCGGAATTGGACAATCGGGCAAACCGGAAATGTGCATCGAACAAACCGGAAGTGGACAAAAAAAACGGAAGTGGGCGATCGGGCAAACCGGAAGCGGGCACACCGGAAGTGGACAAACTGGAAGTGGACATAGGGTACACCGGAAGTGACATAGGGTACACCGGAAGTGGAAAGACGGGAAGTGGATATCGGACAAACCGGAAGCGGACAAACTGGAAGTGAACTTCGGGCAAACCGGCGGAAGTGGACAAACAGGAAATGGGCATCGGACAAACCGGAAGTGGACATCGGGGACACCGGAAGTGGACTTCGGGCACATCGGAAGCGTGCACTCCGGGTATGGACATCAGGTACACCGGAATTGGACAAACCGGAAGTGGACACCGGGTACACCGGAAGTGGACACGGACAAACTTGTTGCTTTTCTTGAACACCTACTGTGCAGAATCAACTCATTCTTATAAAATACAAAAGTATCAATATGGGAAAAACATATCTGTCAATTCTTTTTTGTCAATTGGTATTGACTTTAACATGTGTTTAACTGTGTTTACAGTGTCTTATGTATACGGGAACATCTAGAATGACCTCAGTATTTTTCTATTCTATAGCAATGATTTATGTCACCCAATTGTGATATGGCGAGGCTCTTAACCCTTTCTCTGTTCACCTCACACAGTGTATTGCCAAAAGTAGTGGCGAGGCTCTTAACCCTGAACCTGTTCACCTCACACAGTGTATTGCCTAAAGTAAGGCGAGGCTCTTAACCCTGAACCTGTTCACCTCACACAGTGTCATGCAAAAAATGGTGGTGAGGCTCTCAAGAGGTCCTGCTCCTGTAGTATTTCAAATGGGGGATTTGAATCTTATTCAACTTTCAGTATTGTGCTTATGACAAAGACAAACATTTCAGCAATGTTCCAACAATAGCAATATCCAGCAATATCCAGCAATGTCCCAGTAATAGTCCAGTAATAGTCCAGCAATATCCAGCAATGTCCAACCAAAGTTCCAGCATGGTCACAATATCCCAGTAAAGTTCCACCAATGTTTCAACTTGTTTTAGAAATTGGAGCACTGCGAGGAATCGACTTTGTTGTGACCAGTGCATACCATCTGGCCCTATTTCCAAGTTGTATAAGTTACATGACCCAAACATTTTACATGGGTACAATAAGGGCCCTGGAACTATTCGTTACAATGCAGATACATTCCCAGCTAAGGAAAATTTGCAGTGTGCAGATTTAGCCACTTGTCCAAAGCTAGTGTCTAGCAAGGTGCTGTTCGGCCTGGTAAGCTCAGCTAATAAAAGTCCAGATGATGACACTAAAATGTACACAACATGATACCAGAGTCAAGTTAGTGCTACTAGACTCAAAGTATTGGCACACACTGAATGCAGTAACATTTTTCAGCAAACAAGTAAAGTTCATGTGAGAGTACAGCATGACATCAATGGAATAGTCAAAGGAAATTTGTTATGACAAAATAAGACATGAAAACCGTCACCATATTTGATAAAAATTATTAACTTAGTGTTAGGCTCAGCCATATTCTAGCTATATGACGGCAGTCTGTCAATAATCGAGTCTGGACCACACAATCCAGTGATTGATATCATGAGCATCGATCTAGTCAATAAGGATACGATGACGTGCATCAACCAAGTCAGTGAGCCTGACCACCCTATCTCTCTTTATCTGCAATTTCCCACGATGTAGGAATAGAACGAAGGAAATAGTATTTGGTGATTTAAGTACAGAAAATGTCCTTGGACACCCCAGCTACTGTGGCACTTTATACAGCCCTCTAATCAAATTCGTATTTTGCTTGTCAAACTTTTCAATCGGCATCGGTATTATATCCATACAGGTTTATGCACCTGTCTACAGTCTGTCCAAGTGTTATAACCTGGCTAGGGCCGCTTCACCAAAGGCTTCTCGTCCGCCATTAGTTGGTGCGACTGTATTGCACGTGCATCGCATGGGGGGATACACTGGACAGCTGAAACTTTGCAATATACACTCATGTTGTCTATATAATAAAACAAGCCAGAGAAAATGGATAAAATACTCTTGCAAGTTTGTTTGTTTGTTTGTTGTCTATATAATAAAACAAGCCAGAGAAAATGGATAAAATACTCTTGCAAGTTTGTTTGTTTGTTTGTTTGTTTGTTTGTTTATTTATGTGTTGTTTAACGCCGCACTCCGCAATATTCAAGCTATATGACGGCAGCCTGAACCAGACAATCCAGTGATTGATGAGCACCAATCTACACAATTGGTATACGATGACATACATCAACCAAGTCAGCAAGTTTGACACCCGATCCTGTTCGTCGGG